CTACAGAGGACACGAATGAATGGGTCGGGTTTCAGGAGGACATATGAGTCGTCCTCGTAGGAAATAAAAAAGCAAACTAAATTAAATTATCCACCCACATTCACATTCATACTACACATTCACCAAGACAGGGAGGCAACGCACGATCTGCCAATGGATCGTGGACGCCTGGGGTAAGGGATCAGTCTCAAGTCTCGTCCGATTGTTTCGTTTATAACGCCTTAAAATCCAGTGCGACTTATAGTCCAAAAAATACGACATTGGTTTAGAACTTTAAGGTACTGTGTCCAATTTTTTCAAGTTTTCCATTAAGCGTTATATTGAGAAGTGTGTGGTTAGCTTGCTAGTTGTTGTTTGCTTTACAGTGATGACACAACTCCGCACTGGCCTCTGACAGCTGTGAAAAGCGCTCACAAACTCATCATGGTGAATAAACAGGATGCTCAGAACACGGCTCTTTTAAACATCAGATTCAAACTCCAACTTGCTGCAAAAAGTCTTTAAAAGTAATACCAGTTTGTGCCACTCATGTAGACAGTGTGAAATACCCTTGGTAAATTCACCAAACTGTGGACACATGCCTGGAAAAGACATGCTGTTTTGAACCCCCCATGTGCTGATGAATTTGTATTCCAACAACAAGCAACCACAGAAGCAATTGCACTGTTCCAAAACTACAGCTAAGAGTTTTATCAACTCGTCACTGGTGATCCTACTGTGCTTAAGTCCAATTAAAAGTGCACTAAGTAGTTTTTCTGGTGGAGGGTAGACCACCTGCTTGTATCCATCGAGTAAAAGCACGGTGGAGAGTAAGATTACAGTATTAAACAGTGAGGTAACGGATTTTTACTGTTGTTAAAGTGTGACAAACAGTACCAGTTCATTTTAACCATTCCAGCCTGACAAATATGGGAATATGTTTTATATAATCACACATAACTTTACAACCATAAAAGACAGAAACTGACTTGACTCCGTTGAAAAGTTGGGACTTACTAGCCTGATTCATCAGCCAATTTCACTTTATGGAAACCGTCTGACCTACCAGCATTAGGATTAGTTCGCTCGACAGTAGGTGGAAACTTTTTTTAAAATTAAACCAATCGCTGCTATTTTGTCGTGATGTGTGTAATGCGCCACTAACTGGGCCAACTGGTATATTAAGCTTTTCTCAAATCCCGTAGTAGGAAGGGCAATAACGTCTTTCCCCTTGATAAAATTCACCAAACATTCTCTTTGTTCCGGCTTTAAATCCTCGATCTCGGGAATCGTGGACAACACGGAATGTATCACTCTTCACTGATTGGCTGGTGGCTGAACTTGCACTTCTGGGGTTCTTGCAAACCGTCTAGTGTATTCTGATTTCTGACCTAGTCCATCCATTTTGTTAGACCCCAACTTTGCCAAAGAGTGTAGTGAGTCAAAACGGTTGACTGCTCTGAGCGTCTGTGTTCGTAACTATTGAAAAAGCCGCTCTAAATGCAGTTATTTCTCAAATAAATTACATATTACACATTTCATTCTGAGAAATTGCGCATCCCTTGCTATTTTTATTTGAAAATGTGCATATATGTACATAAATATACAAATACAAATGTGGTAATGTAGGAAGTGATGTGGCTCTGTGCCCTGGACCTGACACGAGCTGCTTTCATGACGGGCACCAGAAAATAAATAGGGTGATACTTTGTTTTGACGGCAATAAGGATATGTTTTGTTTACTTACAGACTTGATATTTTGCTCTTTTGTAGCTAAGGCCCTATTTCTGGTCCTAGAGCTTTTATTATAGCCACATGACACAACTACAGCATGCAGACTGTGAAATAATAGGTTGTACTGAAAAAAATGAAGGGGTAAAAGTGGGAGTTTTAATAGCTTTTTTTTCTTTTTTTTTTTAATCCAGGCGAGGACAAATGTACTAAAATTGTCCTTACTGTGGACCGCAAATGCATTCATCTCTTACCTAATGCTTTTGTTTCTAAACACTTTTCACAACTCTCAGAGATCTACCATGCTAACACGCACTTCCTGATACTTGAACAATAAAAAACTTCATGAATATATCTGTACTAGGTCAAGACACATTTTTGCTCAAATGCGTGGGGAAAAAATGGGGTATGGGGCCTTTAAACTTTTGCATCGCCACGGAGTCAAGGACGTCATGCCATCAGGCTAAGTTAGGAAGAGCCAGATCTGTGGAATGGCGGGTCCACTCACGTAAAAAAGCACATTTTTCAAGTTATCGTAGACACATAAAAAACAAAAAACAAATTAAACCTGTAATTTAATAAAAACAAGATAAATGCCATACTGTGGAACATTCTAGACAAAGCAATAGGTGACAGACACTCCGCCAAAAAAGTTACGAAGTAGGGGTGTAACAATAACCAAAATATCGTGATATTGTATCGTCAAAAGTCTCACAATAATGTCGTGGGTCATCACAATATATCGAATTACAAGTTTATTTGCTTAAATTCATTATTATGGTGCAGCAAAAGCTAAAAAAGCAGTCAGAACTACACAGACCATGATCCTTTGCTCCGTTTTGGTGCAAATTACATGAAGAAACAGCAATTCTAAGCACTTTTAAGTCTTGTCAAGGCATTTAAAGAGGAAAAAGAAGCATATTCACTATTTTACCAGCCTCCACAAACAAAAATAAATATCGTACCATGAGATTTGGATATTGTTACGTCCCTTTTACCTTTATGTTTATTTAGTTGAAACTTCCAAACCCACAAACCAGTCGTGACAATTAAAAAACTCAAGCAGTGAATGAATCTGTTGAACATTTATCAGTGAGCCGGTAATAGCAGCACTGCAAAAGTAACTCCGTAAGCTATAATTACCTGAATTAAGAACATTTGATTTTGATTGAAGGAGACTTGTCAGACAAAATTATCTACCCATGAAACGAGACTTTTTTTTATTTTTTATTAATATGAGCAAAATAAGACTTGTTCTTATTTTAAGAGCAGAGAATAGCTCATTTCCTTACTTAAAGTGGAACCAATTATTTCTTTTTAGTAGAAAACGCTTTGTTCTAGTGATAGATCATTTAAAGCGCATATGACAGTTCTGACTACTAATTTAATTAAAAAATGTTAACAAACTCATATTGAAGATTTTACTGGTAACTTTTTTTTTTAATATAGTTTCATTTTATTTTTGTGAAGTTTACATTTTTACAGCAGAGAGGTAATTCCATAACTGTTTCCTAACCAAGCACTTTTTTTTTTTTTTTTTTTAACCATAATGTAAAAAAGTGTTCACATTAGTTATTGTCAGGCAAAATAAATAAATAAATAAATTAAAATAAAATAAGTAAAAATTAATAACACCTTTATTTGTCTCTACATTCTGAATTTTTGGTATTCTGTTTTAGAAATATTGTACTGTCGTTTTTGTACTTTTCTTTCAACTTTTCTGCCAAACAAACTCCCATTAACTAAAACTATGACAAAAATTGACCACATGTACTATCCCACCAAACCAAGTCAGAGTAAGGCTACGTTCAGACTGCAGCCTGAAGTGACCCAAATCCGATTTTTTGGCCTCTATGTGACCTGTATCTGATCTTTTAATGACAGTCTGAACGACAGAGATCCGATTTTTTCAAATGCAACCCAGGCCACTTGGATATGTGCTCCTGAAACTGATACATATCTGATCTTTTGACATGCGACTTCAGTCTGAACGGTCAGGTCGCATTCATCCGCCTACACGTCAGGCTCTGAGTCTCGTCAACGGAGGGAAAGCGAGGTTAATGAGCTTATTAATATTTGGGGGATCGTTGTATTCAGACCAGATTGGAGGAGTGTTATCGGAACCACGTGGTTTCACAAATGATTGCCAAAGAAATGCTAAAACATACGGTCCTGGCTCCAGTGTCAACGAAAAATAAAGATCCTGCGACCTGAATAGAAGGAAGCTAAAGACTCAAACAAACGAAGCGGCTGTGGACGTGTTACCTGTCCATTTTACCAAGAACTGTGTGTGACGTCGTTGTGTCCTCCAATGCACATGCAGGACACTTTAGGGGCGTTTAAAGTTCACACTGGAGATCACATACAAGTTGCATTTACCGTATTTTCCCGGGCTATTAGATGCGCACTTAAGCCTCCAACCCCATCAAAAAACGACTGCGTGCCCTGCAATCCAGAGCGCCCTATACAAGAATCCACTCAGGTGTCCCAGCACGACTTCAGTAAACTGCAAAGCCGCACCACCCACAGAACACGCAAACACACACGAAGCAGACAGCGACCGCACAGTGAAACACACCCACAGACACACTCATCACTCCACGCCGACGAGGAACGGAACGAAGGAACGAACCGAAAAAGCGAGTGCAATGTGCCACTTCTAGACACAACTGAACAACTGAGTCACTGCGAACACGCCGACAATCCAGCGGTCCCAGACAGCACCCTCCCTACACGCCACAACTGAACAAAGTCGCGACAAACAAACAAAACCACTGACCCATCCAACTGTTGTGTTTCGTTTAAAGTTCGGGGCGGTTTATTTGTGAAAAAAGTTAGAAAATAGATCATTTAATGACAGTGCGCCTTATAATCCGGAGTGCCTAATAGCCCGGAAAATACGATAATTGGAAATGTGAACGACCTCGCAATAAAATCGGATTTCACAAAAAAAAAAAAATCAGAATTGAGCATTAAGCCCTGCAGTCTGAACGTAGCCTTAGAAAAAACTGTCACATGCGCTTTAAACTGCAAGTCAAATCTACTCAAATCCAGATAAAATATTCTTCATTCAAGCCATTTTTAACTTATACAGATATTATTTTTGCAGTGGAGCTAATGTAAACACAATCATGTACAGAAACACTGCAAAAACGACTAAATAGTGGAAGTAAAAGGATTAGTAACTGCACTACAGATGTGGTCTAGACTAGATGCTCTGTGCAAGATTAGAGAAGAAAAACTGGATTCTACGATGGTGCTAGTGGGGCTACGGTTTTTAGTAGCCATACCTCGTATTTGTCAGGGCGCGTCCAAGAAGCCTAGAGAGGACAAAGGGAGGAAAGAGACAGTTTAATGTGCAGGACAATACGAGACAGGAGACACACATGAAAGCTCCGCGGGAATCCACCGGAGAGGACTGTAAAAGCAAGAAGCGATTAGTGACAAGAAAAACAAACTCTTTTTTAAGGAAAATGTATTGCTTTTAAATGCGGGTGTCATTCGTTCATTCGTTTTTCAAAATAAAACCAAAAATAAGAAAATGAAAACAACAATTTTCTTCATTATTTGTCTCCAAAACCAAAATGAACAAATGGATAATGATTTGTTTTTTTCATTTTTCGATTTTGTGTTTAAATGAATGATGGAAAAAACCTGTTTCCGTGACTTTTGCGCTGCATACGGACTAAACCAAGACTAAACAAGGTCTAAACCAGGACTGAACCAGGACTGAACCAGGACTGAACCAGAACTAAACCAGAACTGAACTAGGACTGAGTGTCGAGACGGTCCCGGAGGTGCACCCATGTAGACTGTCGGGTGACCACAGGCGAAAGAACCGGCCAAGGAGATGAGTCCAAGATTAGACCTGGTTTAGACCTGGTTCAGTCCTGGTTTAGACCTGGTTTAGTCCTGGTGTAGTCCTGTTTTAGTCCTGGGATCAGTTCTGGTTTAGACCTGGTTTAGTCCTGGTTTAGACCTGGTTCAGTTCTGGTTCAGTTCTGGTTCAGACCTGGTTTAGTCCTGGTTTAGTAATGTTTTAGTCCTGTTTTAGACCTCATTTAGTCCTGGGATCAGTCCTGGGATCAATCCTGTTTTAGTCCTGATTTAGTCCTAGTTTAGTCCCAGGATCAATCCGGGATCAGTCCTGTTTTAGTCCTATTTTAGTCTTGTGTTAGTCCTGGTTTAGTCCTGGTTTAGTCCTAGTTTGTCCTGGGATCAGTCTCGGGATCAGTCCTGGGATCAATCCTGAATTAGTCCTGGTTTAGTCCTGGTTTAGTCCAGTCCTGGTTTAGTCCTGGTTCAGCCCATACGCGACGCAAAAGTCCTTCACTTTAGTCTATCCAAAAAAGCGAACTCATTGTTGAGTTTCACTTTAACGCCTTGTCACTTCTTGTAACAAACTTTTAAACATAATTTTTTTTTTTTTTTTACTTTACTCTGTGTTAGTAACAAAGTGCCGCATCAGCACGGGGGGGAAATCAGTTGTGACTATATCATAAGAGGATTTACAAAATAATTAGCGACACCGGGGGAGCGAGCTTATCGGCGCCTTCTGTATTCTGATTACGCCTTTATGTAAGAGACCGTTATCTGACTTGGAGCCTGCGCGTGTAGATTAGTCCAACCAAAATATAATATTAGCGCTCGCGTCACTTTGGGCTCCACAATGAGAGATAAAGTCTGATAACATCGGGTTTGTTCTGTATGAAATAATAGAACAAGATTAGAGTGAGGATCGATGACTTCTTTGACATTGGACTATTTTGGATGAGAAGAGTGAGTGATAATGGAGATGTGATACGACTTTAAGGGGTTTATATTCACTGGGATTAGGATCTTGCAAAAAAAAATAAAAATAAAAAAAATGGCTCCTGACTCTCTCTCTCTGGCTCCTGTCTCTCTCTGGATCCTGGCTCTCTCTGGAGTGGCTCCTGTCTCTCTCTGTGGCTCCTGTCTCTCTCTCTCTGTCTCTCTCTGGCTCCTGTCTCTCTGGAGTGGCTCCTGCTCTCTCTCTCTGGCTCCTGTCTCTCTCTGGAGTGGGCTCTCCTGTCTTTCTCTCTCTGGCTCCTGTCTCTCTCTGGAGTGGCTCCTGTCTTTCTCTCTCTGGCTCCTGTCTCTCTCTGGAGTGGCTCTCTGCTCCTGTCTCTCTCTCTCTCTCTCTGGCTCCTGTCTCTCTCTGGAGTGGCTCCTGTCTCTCTTCTCTCTCTCTGGCTCCTGTCTCTCTCTGGTCTCTCTCTGGCTCCTGCTCTCTGGAGTGGCTCCTGTCTCTCTCTCTGGCTCCTGTCTCTCTCTCTGGCTCTGTCTCTCTCTGAGTGGCTCCTGTCTCTCTCTGCTCCTGCTCTCCTCTGGATTCTGGCTCCTGTCTCTCTCTCTCTCTGGCTCTCTCTCTTCTCTCTCTGGCTCCTGTCTCTCTCTGAAGTGGCTCCTGTCTCTCTCTCTCTGGCTCCTGTCTCTCTCTGGAGCGGCTCCTGTCTCTCTCTGGCTCCTGTCTCTCTCTGAAGTGGCCCCTGTCTCTCTCTGGAGTGGCTCTTGTCTCTCTGGCTCCCGTCTTTCTGGCTCTTGTCTCTCTGGCTCCTGTCTCTCTCTGGCTCCTGTCTCTCTCTTGCTCCTGTCTCTCTGGCTCTTGTCTCTGTGGCTCGGGGCCAGTGTGGTGTAAAAGTACCTGACCTTGAGCCGACCTACACAGTCTGTGGTGAAAGTAAAGAAAAATGTAATTAAAATAAAAAATGAATGAATAAATAAATAAATATATAAATAAATAAATAAAAGTTAAGTTTGAATTGAGCTGATGATCTTGAAAATAAAAATGTTAAATGTTAAATATTGATTGAGGCAGAGGACACGTAGAACAGAAGTCTCCAACCTGCAGCTCTCCTCCCTCGTCCAAGCAGCTCACCCAGGGATTTCAGAATTTTACCATTGTCCTGAATAACAAAAATTTAGATAATTCCACGACTATTACTACTGAAATTGTATCATTTTGAAGCCCATCTTTCTGCACTAATAAATGGACGATGGTTTATGTTTTATCGGCGTCTAACTGCACCCAAAGGCTCGCCCTCTTTCTCATAATCGTCTCAATTTCTTGCAACGGCTAAAAGCGAGGAGCACTCTGACATTTTCGTTTTGTAAAGGTTGATACGCGATACGGGAGAGATACGTTTTATGTCATATTCCAGGCCGGATAAGAGTCAGGTTTGTGGAGATGCGAGCCTGCTCACACTAAGGACAGAGTAATGTGTTTCAGAGCAATAACACGTCTCTACTTTTTCATGTTCATGTCTTTTTAATGCCTTTCATTCTCACTGATTGCTTTACTAACGGATTTTCAGACCCTTACGATGAATTCTTACACCTTTTTATTTATTTAATCATGTTGTAACACACACTCGCACACGGTAAACACATTCACTGTCAGATAATTAACGCTTAAGGGCTCTTACGCTGTTTTTTCATCTATGTTTTGATTTGTTTCCTCATCATAAACATACCTGGAGTCGTGTTTTGTTTATTCACGCGTTTAACACATAAACCCAGCGCGTTTAGAGTTCTTTTCTCGAACGGAAAACATTTTATTCCACCTGGTTATGTCATGTGGTGATACAGCAAGTGTGTTTTTAAACTCTGTACATCTTCACTTGGATCATTTCCGCTCTTGAATTCTGTCCACTGAACAAGAAATAAAAGGTTGCTGTTAACTAGTGTTGCAGTCGAGGCTGATCTAATCCAGACCAAGACCTGTCCGAGACCACAGGCTCCCGAGACCAAGACAAGACCAAGACCTCTGAGGGTCGAGACCGAGGCAAGACCAAGACTTTGAAAGGTCGAGACCAAGACCACGGCTCATCGAGAACAAATCAAGACCATCTTTGTCCTTTTCTACATTTATTTGTATTTTACAGTTATTTTGGCACATTTATATAAATGCGTTTTTATCTCCATTTGATCTGATTAATGTTCATTTAGGCATAAAATAAGCCAATAAACTGTACTGCACTTAAACAATCTGTGCCCCTTTTTGGGACCCTCACCTACAGTTTGAGAACTTCCACTGGCACTTTACAGAAAACTGTGAAGAAAGTGAAGAAAGTGGGTAGGATTTTTAGGCCTGTTTCAAATTGGAGTTACAACTGGAGTTACAGTCTGTTACTGGTTTTCGCAGTGGGGTTTAGCCTCTACACATTTACCAAACGCATGTCGTGACAAATACAAATGCATTTGTGCACTTTTATTTGGCAAACTTCTACCATGTCGCGGTAAGAAGTTAATTACCGACCGTAATGAAATATGATCGCACTTGACGAGTGTCAGACCTCGAGTCCGAGACAAGACCAACTTCAAACTGCTTCAAGTCCGAGACAAGACCAAATCCAAGCGCCTTCAAGTTCAAGACAAAACCGAGTCCAAACGTCTTCAAGACCGAGACAAGACCGAGTCCAAACACCTTCAAGACTGAGACAAGACCAAGTCCAAGCGCCTTGAAGGCCAAGACAAAACCGAGTCCAAACGTCTTCAAGACCGAGACAATTCCGAGTCCAAACGCCTTTAAGTCTGAGACAAGGCCGAGTCCAAGCGCCTACAAGATCGAGACATGACCGAGTTCAAATGCCTTCAAGTTCGAGACAAGACCAAGTCCAAATGCTTCAAGTCCAAGACAAAACCGAGTCCAAACGCCTTCAAGTCCAAGACAAAACCGAGTCCAAACGCCTTCAAGTCCAAGACAAAACCGAGTCCAAACGTCTTCAAGACCAAGACAAGACCTGAGTCCAAACACCTTCAAGTCCAAGACAAGACCAAGTCCAAACGTGGTCAAGTCCGAGATGAGACGAGACCGAGACCGTAAAAAAAAGGTCTCGAGGCCGGTTTTGCGTACTACAACACTGTACCGTTAACTACATGACATCACGAGGTGGAACAGAGCATTTTAACCTTTGGAGATGAAGACTGACTAATAAAACTTTAAAGGGACACTCAAAACAGCACCAAAACTCAACTCCAGGTCCGTTTCTGACGAGATAACAGCATTATAACATGTCTCACAGGACTCACGAGACCTTTAACAAATTACATCTTATGCTATTTTTACCCATTTGCATTGAACTCATTACAACATGTCTGCGGTGCCGAATTAACACAGGCTCCATAACGATCCATGACACATTTCCCGGGCTGCTTTCCGCTTGCTTCGCACAAATACTTAAATTGGCTAATCCTTCGTCTCCTGCCCAACGTGTCAGGATGTACACGATCTTTGGCGTTCCTGCTTTAAATGGGCGCTGATAATGACTAACCCAAATTGTATCAACAGCACGCCCGGACTCAAAAGGAAACTAATTCATCCCCAAATTGGATTAAAAAAAAAAAACTCGTGCGTATGATTTATAGCGGCCTGAAAGTAAATGACTCAGCAAATTACACATAAGCCATTTGTTCACACGGCGGTGGGTTTTCGCCGACCGAATCCGATACATAACTGTCCAAAGTCTTTTATTTAAGTTACTAATAGAACGGGAGAAAGAATTATGTAGTTTTAAAGGATGATCCAGACGCATCCACTGTCCGCGGCATTTATCACGGAAGACGTCGGACGCACGCGGGGATGGTGAGGAATTAAAATCGTTTGCAGGTGAAGTTTTAGTTGAATGTTCTTCCTTAAAGTTCATGACAAATGCAGTATAATAAATATATGAAGTATTATAATAGTTATGTAAGTTTGAAGGTGATTTGTGATTTTAAAAGTATGTGGTTGTTAGTATTTGTGCTGGTTTTGGCGGTAATTGTGCGGATCAGGGCGAAGTGGCTCCTGGCTCTCTTTCTGGCTCATGTCTCTATATCTGACTCATCTCTCTCTGGCTCTTTGCTCTCTCTGGGATGGCTCCTGTCTCTGTCTGACTCCTCTCTCTCTCTCTCTCTCTCTCTGGCTCCTGTTCCTCTCTGGCTTCTGCATTTTTCTCTGGCTTCTGTCTCTATCTCTGGAGTGGCTCCTGTCTCTTTCTGGCTCCTGTTTCGCTCTTTGGCTCCTGTCTCTCTCTGGAGTGGCTCCTGTCTCTCTTTGGCTCCTGTCTCTCCCTCACTGGATTCTGTTTCTCTCTCTGGCTCCTATCTCTCTCACTGGCTCTTGACTCTCTCTATGGTTCCTGTCTCTCTTTCTGGCTCCTATTTCTCTCTCTGGTGTGGCTCCTGTCTCTTTCTGGCTCCTGTTTCGCTCTTTGGCTCCTATCTCTCTCTGGTGTGGCTCATGTCTCTCTCTCTCTGGCTCTTGTCTCTCTGGCTCCTGTCTCTCTCTCTCTGGCTCTTGTTTCTCTGGCTCGTGTCTCTCTCTCTGGCTCTCTGGCTCGTCTCTCTGGCTCTGTCTCTCTGGCTCTGTCTCTCTCTCTGGCTCCTGTTCTCTTGGCTCCTGTCTCTCTTTGGAGTGGCTCCTGTCTCTCTCTGCTCTCTCTCTCTCTCTCTGTCTCTGGCTCCTGTTTCTCTCTGCTCTTTCTCTCTCTGGCTCTGTCCTTCTGGAGTGCTCCTGTCTCTCTCTGGCTCCTGTCTCTCTCTGGAGTGCTCCTGTCTCTCTCTGGCTTCTGTTTCTCTGGCTCCTGTCTCTCTGGAGTGGCTCCTGCTCTGGTCTCTCTGGACTGGCTCCTGTCTCTCTCTGGCTCTTTTCTCTCTCTGGCTCTGTTCTCTGGAGTGGCTCCTGTCTCTCTTCTGTCTCTCTGGCTCCTATCTCTCTCTGGATGCTCCTGCTCTCTGTCTGTCTCTCTGGAGTGGCTCCTGTCTCTCTCTGGCTCTTTTCTCTCTCTGCTCCTGTCTCTCTGGAGTGGCTCCTGTCTCTCTCTGCTCCTGTCTCTCTCTCTCTGTCTCTCTCTGGAGTGGCTCCTGTCTCTCTCTGGAGTGCTCCTGTCTCTCTCTGGCTCCTGTCTCTCTCTGGTCCTGTCTCTCTCTCTGGCTCCTGTCTCTCTGGAGTGGCTCCTGTCTCTCTCTGGCTCTGCTCCTGTCTCTCTCTGGAGTGGCTCCTGTCTCTCTCTCTCCTGGTTTCTCTGGCTCCTGTCTCTCTCTGGAGTGGCTCCTGTCTCTCTCTGGCTCCTGTCTTTCTCTGGCTCCTGTCTCTCTCTGGAGTGGCTCCTGTCTCTCTCTGGAGTGGCTCCTGTCTCTCTCTGGCTCCTCTCTGGCTCCTGCTCTCTCTCTCTCTCTCTCTGGAGTGGCTCCTGCTCTCTGGAGTGTCTCTCTGTCTGTCTCTCCTGCTCCTGTCTCTCTGGAGTGGCTCCTGTCTCTCTCTGGCTCCTGTCTCTCTGGATCTGGCTCTCTCTCTGGCTCCTGTCTCTCCTGCTCCTGTCTCTCTGGAGTGGCTCCTGTCTCTCTCTGCTCTGTTTCTCTGGCTCCTGTCTCTCTCTCTGGCTCTGTCTCTCTGGAGTGGCTCCTGTCTCTCTCTGGCTCCTGTCTCTGTGGCTCGGGGCCACTGTGGTGTAAAGTAGCTGACCTTGGGCTGACATACACAGTCTGTGGTGAAAGTAAAAGTGCTTGGAATTGGATCAAAATCCAATTGGATCAGATGCAGCCTGAGTCTGACGAGGAGAATTCAATCAACTTAATATTAGAGACACTTGTGCCTCTGTCTGTGCGCTCAACCCGGGTCTGTGCGCTCAACCCGGGTCTGTCTGTGCAGTGAACTCGGGTCTGTCTGTGCAGTGAACCCGGGTCTGTCTGTGCAGTGAACCCGGGTTTGTCTGTGCAGTGAACCCGGGTCTGTGTGTGCAGTGAGGCCGGGTCTGTGCGGTGAACCTGGGTTTGCGCGGTGAACCCGGGTCGGTCTGTGCAGTGAATCTGAGTCTGTCTTTGCAGTGAGCCCGAGTCTGTGCGGTGAGCCCGGATCTATACAGTGAACCCGGGTCTGTCTGTGCAGTGAACCCGGGTCTGTCTGTGCAGTGAACCCGGGTCTGTCTGTGCAGTGAGCCCGGGTCTGTGCAGTGAACCCGGGTTTGTCCCACTCAGAGAGACTTCTTCTCTGCTCGCACCACTGCTCATGACTCTTGATAAATTTAACCACAGGTAAAAGAAAAGTCTCCTGCACAAAGCCTCGTGTTAGTGGTTCATGAAGGCACCAGGGACGTGAGTCTGAGCGCCCGGATCCCCATCACTCTCTCTCTCTCTCCGCCTGAAGTGTGTTGTCATGGAGATAAGTTGTATGAGTTTGGTCTGAACCTTGTCAGATGATGCTCTTCACGGTGTGTGTGTGTTTGGGGTGAGTGATGAGTGGATGGTGTGTGTGTGTGTGTTTGGGGTGAGTGATGAGTGGAGTGGTGCATGTGAACATGACCGACCAAACAGAAGGAAACAGAACTAAATCCACTCCACAGAGCGCAGAAACCTGTGAAGATGACCTCAGATGATAGTGTCAGAAGTAACATGGATCACAGTGCGTATGGGAAATGCCCAAACTAAATAGAACATTCTGGAAACGTTATTGACTCGGTTACAGAGTGTAACTAAGGTTCTCTGAGTGTGAACAAATGAAAGAAATCCTGAAATTGTGTTTTAATACCAGAGCAAACTTAACAAAACGGTGCGGCACATTACCTGCTCTCCCTCAGTGAAGACTCTTTGGTCGTAGCTCCACTGGATGCTGGGGGTGGGGTCTCCTGAGGCCTCACAGGTCAGGGTCACATGATCATCAAACTCTGACGCGCTCTGGTTGTTCAGGAACGTGATCTTTGGTGGCACTGAAACAAAGCAAGTCAAGAAAATACACTTTTTACAACATTATCATCTCGAGCAGTAGCATTTTGAAGTTTAAATTTGAGACTAAACAGTCGTCCCTCGCTGTATCACGGTTCACCTTTCAAGATGTCGCTGTTTCGCAGATTTTTTTTTGTGTGCAATTTTTTTTTTACAGTGTATGAACGTGCAGTGTGTTCCTCCTCCTAAGGGACTGTAGGCTATTGTCAATCAATCCCCTCCGTGACTCCTGAACAGTACAGACTGTGTTCCGTTTGCCAAATTTACATAAATGTTCGATCACAAGCCGTGAGACTCTGAAGAAGTTTTCTCCCCGACAAAACCCACATGTTGATGAAACTTTCTGCTCCTGCAGTCGCACCCAAAAGGCAGAGGAAGATGCAAACCATCGCACAAGAAGTTGGACTCCTGGACACGCTGAAGGAATGTAGAAGCACTGTAGCAGAGTCCTGCACCGGGTCGGGTACCCACGGGTAAATAGTTGCTGAAACAGGCGCGTTTTAACGTTCTGGAATTTTACGGGCGGATATGCGGGCGGGTAGTGCTGGGTAGATCTCTACACTGGAACGACGATCTTTTCTCCTGCGGTCACCCCCGAGCCCGTCCCGACAAAGAGTCCTGGTTCAGTTCTGGTTTAGTCCTGGTTTAGACCTGATTTACTCCTATTTTAGTCATGTTTTATTCCTAGTTCAGTCCTGGTTTAGTCCTTCTCTTCAGTCCTGGAATCAGTCCTAGGTTAGTCCTGGGTTAGTCCTAGTTCAGTCTTGGTTCAGTCTGTGGTGTAGGCAGTGCAAAAGTTTGATATAATCTCGGGTTAACGGGTGGGTGCGGTCCTGTAGCCTACTCTGCGGGTGCAGGTCTCCAAAAATGGACCTGTGCAGGACTCTGCACTGTTGGGCTCCATTACGGAATAAATTAATCTTCGGTTCGTTACATAAAGAAGGAGGAAAATAACAAAAGGATGACAGCAGAAGGATGCAAAAAGGGTGGTAAGTGTCCTGTGTGAGAAAAGTGTATAAAGTGTGTGGTGAGGGGTTTTACAGACTTAAAACAGATAGAATAATTGTAAAATATAAAGTTGACTACTATCGCGGGTTATTTTTAGAACGTAACCCCCGTGAAAAAACGAGGGACCATTGTATACAGTATTGTTTTGTCTTTCCACGACTTTGTTTGTCGCATTTCTCTTCACTTCAGCTGCAGCGACGCTATTTGAAGAGGGTGACACTGTGTGAAAGTCCTCCTCTCTCGCCCTGACTCAAAAAGACTCATTCTGAGTAAAGAAATTAAGTCTGATTTTATTGACCCAGAGTTCTTTTGGAGGGTAATTGAAAAGTTGGCACGTATTTGAGCTCCTAAGAGGTTTTACAGGACAGGGCCAGACCTCAGATGGAATGGGAAAAAGATGGAGAGTGCTTTCTGGAGAGCAGGGACTTGATTTACTTATTTATTTCATTTGGCCTTTTTAATGAATAGCACAGCCTGGTCATTCTGTCCATGGCAACACACGGCACTGTATGAATTTCTCAACGCAGCGCTATTCAACCTGATGTCCATCTTATAAATCTAAAAATAAAATGACATAAAATAAAGGTAACAACATTCTAGCATGGTTTAAAGCTCACAAAAATCTGGTTTAGCCCTGGTGTAGCTCTGGTTTAGTCCTGGTTTAGTCTTGGTTTAGTCCTGGTTTAGTCCTGGTTTAGTCTTGGTTTAGTTCTAATTCACCCTGGGTTTAGTCTTGATTTAGTCCTGGTTTCAGTCCTGGTTTAGTCTTGGTTAAGTTCTGGTTTAGCCCTGGTTTAGTCCTAGTTTAGTCTTGGTTTAGTCCTGGTGTAGCTCTGATTTAGTCTTGATTTAGTCCTGGTTTAGTGTTGGTTTAGTCTTGGTTTAGTCCTGGTTTAGATTTGGTTTAGTCTGGGTTTAGCCCTCGTTTAGTCCTGGTTTAGTCCTGGTTTGGACCTGGTTTAGTCTTGATTTAGTCCTGGTTTAGTCTTGGTTTAGTCCTGGTGTAGCTCTGATTTAGTCTTGATTTAGTCCTGGTTTAGTATCGGTTTAGTCCTGGTTTAGCCCTGGTTTAATCTTGGTTTTGTCTTGCCTTAGCCCTGGTTTAGCCCTGATGTAGTCCTAGTTTAGTTTTGGTTTAGTCCTGGTTTAGTCTTGGTTTAGTTCTGGTCCAGTCCTGGTTTAGTCCTGGTTTGGTTCTGCTTTAGACCTAGTGTAGCCCTGGTTTAGTTCTGGTTTAGTTGTGGTTTAGTCCTGGTTTAATCCAGGTTTAGTCTTGGTTTAGTCCTGGTTTAGTCCTTGGTTTAGTCCTGGTTTAGTCTTGGTTTAGTCCTGGTTTAGTCCTGGTTTAGTCTTGGTTTAGTCCTGGTTTAGTCTTAATTTAGTTCTGGTTTAGACCTGGTTTAGTCCTGGTTTAGTCCTGGTTAAGCCCTAGTTTAGTCTAGTTTAGTCCTGGTTTAGGTATGATATAGTCTTGGTTTAGTCCTGGTTTAATCCTGGTTTAGTCCTGGTTAAGCCCTGGTTTTAGTCCTGGTTAAGTCCTGGTTTAGTCCTGTTTTAGTCCTGGTTTTGCAGTTTGTCAGAGCAATGTGGGCAAAGCCTTTAGAATTTTAATTTTGAAGAAAAATCAGTTGAAACAGATCGAATTATTTTGTGTGACCCAAAGTTGTGTTTCATTTTGCAGTGCAGATTTGTTCTGGTCCCTCAAAACAATGAAGCCGAGTAGCTCTGGTCTAATGGAATTTGTGGAGGGTAGAGTCGCCACTGGCACAGACGCCCTTTACCTTTTTTACTTCTTCTAGTTCAGATAAGATCAATACCATTATATCGATACTCATACTGACTGAAAATACAGAAAAGTATTGATCATCATGGAAAACGAACAATCCCTAAAAGTCCAGTGAGGTTCATTTGGACTTCCGATAGTTTATGTTATTAGGTTCTTTTTTTCTGTCAGGTATGAAAACAAACTCTTGGTCTGATATTTTGGGGCAGAAAGACCACCTGAAATTGACCAAATGTAAGGTAGAGCTGTTTAATGTCATACTGCGGAACAGAAACAAGAAGGTGCAAAACCCTTACCTGCACCGGGTCGGGTACCGACAAATAGTTGCTGAAATGGGCAGGTTTTAACGGGGAATTATCCAGGTGGTCCAGGCGAATCAAATGAATGAACAGGAGAAAAATACTTGACGTGTGTCCGTGGAAACAAGTGTCATTTCTCAGTCTTTTCCAGGAATGATGGCAGATCAGGCTGAGAGAGACTTTAGTGTATTTATTAAATAAAACCATCACCTGGAGCGGAGGCTGAATGCGCTCGGCGGCTAGTAGCGCCGGTCATCTGTCCTGGTCCTATGAGTTGTCCTGGTTTAGTCCAGTTCTGGTCTAGTCCTGGTCTGTTATCCAGTCTCTGGGTCAGTCTGTGTTCTAGTCTGGTCCTGGTTCATTCTCAGGGTGTAGTCCTTGGTTCAGTCTTGGTCAGTCCCTAGACCTGGTCTTTGGTGGTCTCCTTGGTTTCAGTTCCTGGTTGTAGTTTGGTGTCCTGGTTTGTCAGTTTGTGGTCATCTGTGGTGTAGTCCTGTGGTCCTGGTCAGAGCTGTCGTTTGGTACTGGTTCCTGCTTGAGGTGGTCATCTCTGGTTTTTTTTTCAGCTTTAGTCCCCTGGTTTTAGTCCTGGTTTAGTCCTGGTTCAGTCCTTTTAGCTCTGGTTCAAGTCCTCCGGTTCAGTCCTGGTGTGTCCTTGGTGATTGGCTCTGCAGTTTGCAGCGTGTAATCTGCTTTAATCCTAGAGTAGGTCAGTGGTTGTAGTCCTGGTTAGTCCTTGGGTAGTCCTGGTTTAGTCCTGTCCAGTCCTGGTTTTAGTCCTTTTCTGTAGTCCTGGTTGTAGTCTTGGTCCAGTCCAGTAGCCTCCTGTGTCCAGTCCTGGTGTAGTTCCTCGGTTTAGTTATAGTCCTGGCTCCAGTCCTGGTCCTTCAGTCCCTGGTAGTCCAGTCCTTGTTAGCTCGGCTAACCTGTGTAGTCCTGGTTTTAGTCCTGGTCCAGTCTGGTCCTTGTCCCAGTCCTTGGTGCATCCTGGTAGTTGTCGGTGGTTTAGTCCCTGGTCCTTTGTCCTGGTTCAGTCCTGGTTCAGTTTCCTGGGTAGTCCTCGTGGTAGTGTGGTTCAGACCTGGTTTCAGACCTGGTTCAGACCTGGTTCAAGACCTGGTTTTTAGATTCCTGGTCCAGTGCTGTGTGTTTAGTCCTGGTTATCCTGGTGGGCTCTGCTCGGTTTCTTTGTAGTGTGCATATTATTTTTTATCCGCTAATTGCACAGTAGATTTTTTTTGTTCCTAAGTTTAGTCCTGGTTCAGTCCTGGTTCAGTCCTGGTTCAGTCTGGTTTCAGTCCTGGTTCAGTCCTGGCAATTGGCTGTACAGTTTGTGGCATCATAAGTTACTGACACGACGTAGGCTTAGTCTTGGTTTAGTCCTGGACTACTGAGCTTTTGGACTAATTGGCAAACCCTAAAAAACATGTCCGCCATGTACTGTCCGTTTTATTGTCCGAGACATCACAGAGAGGTTGGTAGCATTGTCTAGCGTCATTATCATTACGTGGCGAGACTGCGCTCTTTCGCATTATTTACACGTGTTCTGCCAATAGCTGTTTACAGAAAGAAGAAGGATTTGTTTGGGGGTCAGCGTTGGCTTTCTGCGTCGAGCCTTTTCGATAACAACAAAGCACTGTAAACAATTTCACACAATGCTATTAGCGCAGAGCTGATAAAAGGCGTAGCGTTAATAACAGGGCACTTCCTAAGGGCCGACTTAATTACTTTTCAATGGGGGACACTTTCTTCTAAACGGTCGGTTGCCTCACACAGCGGAGTGTGGAGTTCTCACAGAGGACCGCTCCGAAAATGTCATGAAATTACCAAAGAAAAGGCCACTGCACACGAGGGCTATAGAAACACACGGGAGGCAACGGAAATGTATGTAAGTGCGGATTATTAGGGATGATAAAATAGAAAATGAAACAATACTGTCATAATAAACATATATACACACATACTTAAAAAAAAAAAAAAATGATAAAGGTCCCATTTTGATTGGATTTTAGATTCAAATTCCTCGAAGTCGACACTGCAAACCTTTGGCCTTCTCTTTTCAAAATTTAAAATCTAGAGCAAGTTTGGAATTATTTAGAGTTTATTTAGTTATATGTAAATCATCATGGAGATAAAGAAGAAACATAAATGAAAAAGTGTGTTCAAACTTTGGCTTGTAGTGTGTGTTATTTGTTTATAATGTTGTTTCCTCGTCACAAACAAACCTGGAGTTGTGTTTTGTTTCAGTCACACATGTTTAACACACAAACCCTTCCCTCAAACAGAAGACACTCTGTTCCCCCTTGTGATGTCATGTGGTAGCCATGTGGTGTTGGGTGTACGAGAATAAAGTGTAATGTCACATCCACTGCAGTAGTTGGCAGTGACACTCTCATGCGCAGGGAGTATTTGCACTGTAGTGTCAGGTTTTTTGCACTGAGCAAACGCACAAACCGCACAGAGCAGGAGATATGAAGTGCAGAGAACAAACTGTATGCAAAGCGTCCATCTTTTCATCTTTCCCTTACGGTACTTGTCGACTATCGGTCTCGTGCCAGTATTTAGCCTTCGATGGAGTTTACCACTAGACTGATTCATCAGCTGGTTTCACTTTGTGGGAACTGTCTGACCTCGCAGCATTAAGATTCATTCGCACGACAGTAGGCAGGTACTTTTTTATTTAACCAATCTCTGATATTTGGTCTTGACGTATGTAATGTGCCAAATCCCTTGGAAGAAGGGCAATAACGTCTTTCCCCTTCATAAAATTCACCAAACATTCTCTTTGTTCCAGCTTTAAATCCTCGCCAACACAGAATGTTTTTCTTCGTCTACATCCATCTCGACCACTTTGTTTACTCTTGTGCTGTTCCACAAAAGGGACTCAGACAGACACTTGAGTCTGATGTACAAATTCCGGGGCTTTTGCAAACTGTCAAGTGTATTTTGATTCCTGACCAAGTCGCGGGAGAGAAATGAAATTGAACGGAGGCACTAACGGGCTAAGGTGGTGCCAAACCAGCCTGGTGGTATTTCCAGCCTGGACGGGTTTAAGTAAAAGTAAGTTACAACTAACAGACTAGGTAACTTAACGCTAGCTCAAAAGTTTTTCAGGCTAGTAATTCAGGGCTTTGCTAACGTTCAGCTGTCCAGGCTTAACGCTCAATTCAATTTTTTTGGTGAAATCCGATGTTTTGCGAGGTCGTTCACATTTCCAATTAAATGTGACTTGTATTGTGACCTCATAGTGCCAGCTAAACAGTTGAACATTACAACCCGAAAGTGTCCCCACATGTGACACTGGAGACATGATGACGTCAACCGCTACCGCAGTGAGTGTGTGCTCTGTGTTTACGGAAGTTGTCCAAACATGGACGCAGCATTGAGCACCTGGAGATTTTTAAGTTTCCTCTTCGTACCCGGAGTCAGAACATTCAACTTACTTGTTGTTTTAAGGAGGAGATTGAGAAGGAGAAGGACGAGGTTCTTGGTCGTGGTGTTTGTGTGGGGGCAGCAGCGACGCGACGTCCGTTAAAAGGAACGTGTGGATGTGGAGACGTCGCCAAGAGTGGTGAGTGGTGATGTGCTTCACTTCAGTGACACGGAGTTCATTAACAATTTTCGCCGACTTCAGTGCAGAATAGTGACATTTGTGGCTTGTTGATAACGTGTAGGACGGATTAATGAGCTTTGGCTGAAGTCACACTGAAGTCGCATGTCAAAAGATCAGATATGTATCGGTTTCAGGATCACATATCCAAGTGTCCTGGGTCACATTTGAAAAAATCGGATCTGTGTCGTTCAGACTGTGATTAAAAGATCAGATACAGGAACATAGAGGTGAAAAAATCAGATTTGGGTCACTTCAGGCTGCAGTCTGGACACAGCCTAAGTAAAGTAGGGATTACTTTTTAAATCAGTAACGAACAAAGACTACTGTTTAAAAGTAACTTCCACAACACTGGTGGTGATACAGGAAGTGCTCCACTGTGTTTTTACACTCCATACACCTTCACTAGAATCATTTGGATCAATTTGGATCAGGCCTTGAATTTCCAATCACTACTGAACAAAAGGTAAAAGGATCTGTTCACATGAAATCTATTGTTTCAGCAGAAAGTGAAACAGCAGCAAACAACAGACTCATAAAAAAGGATTACTCAAACACGTGTGAATGAAACTAAAAACAACTCCGGGTCTGTTTGTGAGGAGGTAACAACATTATAACACAATCTAAGCTCACAAGAGTCAATTTTGTGTAATATAGGATCTTTAATCCTGCATAAAACACAGAGGAGATACTGGAAACTTTCTCTTACCGAACACTTTGAGGCTGACTTCCTGGGCGGTCTCTCCGGCCTTGTTGCGGGCCACACACGTGTACTCCCCCTCGTCCACCTTCTTCACGTCTCGTATGAGCAGCTCGGAACCGTCCTCGTTCACACTGTACTTATCTCCGCTCACAAGGACGACGCCGTTACTGGACAAACAGAGACAGGGACAGGGGTTCAATGTGGTTACATGTGATATTGAGGGACAGTTACCAAAGGTGGATGAAGTAGTAATCGAAAAGAAATTGACGTAAGTACCGCAAAATAATATTACTCAAGTAGAAGGGTCCATATACTATTTGTTCTTTAGGATTTCAATTAAGAAAGAAAAACAATAAAATGTGAAAACAGTTTGTTATTTCATTATTTTGTTCTAGTGTCAAACAAAAAACAGATTTCGACCTCTATTTCCAATACTTAATTTAAAGTTTATTTCAGATAACACCAATCAAAAAACAGTCTCGGTGCCTGTTTCAATTTTGATATTTTATTCTCTCTGGTTTATTTGCCCGAGAAGTTCTGCTGCTTAGTGCGCCGTGGGTGAATTCAGTGTCAACCGTGGATCTATAATAAAAAATAACTTTTATTCTAGTTCTTTGGTGTCTGAACAAAGGAAAGTTTATCGCTGCTTCCCATTTGTCGTCATAGTGTTCAACAATTACTTTCTAAGATGTGAAAGTAAATGTATCACTGAAAAATGGCAATGATTTTTCAGGTAAGTTCAGGTAAGTTCATCTAGCAGCAACATTTATTTTTTTTCCTTTTTAATTGAAATTCAAAAGAACGAATGGTACACGGACCTAGAAGAAGTAGTCAAAGAAAAATAAGCGTAAAAATGTCAAAACTAAACTGAACTGTCATGACGCTACATATGATTTATAATTTGAAGCTAATGTAACTGGAAAGCTCAAGAAAAAATACACGATTTAAACAACACATTTGATACCAGTGAAGGATGTTTGGAGTTGGAATAACATTACTTAAAAATAATATTATTCAATTAGAAGGTAAAAGTAGTTGTCTAAGAAATTACTCAAGTCAGAGTCCTGCACTGGGTCGGGTACCCACAGATAGTTACTGAAACAGGCGGGTTTTAACATTCTGGAATTTTACGGGCGGGAATCATCTGAACAACAAACGGGGGAAAAATACGTGAAGTGTTTCCAAGACGTCTGTTGCCCTGGAAACAAGTGACATTTCCTGGTCTTTTTCCAGAACGATGGACCAGGCTGAGAGAGACTTTAGTGTTTTTATTACATAAAACCATCAGCAGAGGTGATCGGCTCGGCGGCTGCGCTCCTGGTTTAGTCCTGGTTTAGACCTGGTTTAGTGCTTGTTTAGTCATCGTTTAGTTCTCGTTTAGTCCTCATTTAGTCCTCATTTATTCCTCGTTTAGACCTGGTTTAGTCCTCGTTTAGACCTGGTTTAGACCTGGTTTAGTCCTGGTTTAGTTCTGGTTTAGTCCTCCTTTAGTCCTTGTTTAGTCCTCGTTTAGTCCTTGTTTAGACCTCATTTGGACCTGGTTTAGACCTGGTTAAGTCCTTGTTAAGTCCTGGTTTAAGTCCTGGTTTAGACCTGGTTTAAACCTGGTTTAGTCCTGGTATAGTCCTGGTGTAGTCCTGATGATCGGCTCTGCAGTTTGCGGCGTGTATACATTTATAATCCGCTAATGACACGGCGTAGGTTTAGTCCTGGACTGGTGGGCTGTCGGACAAATGGGCTGACCCTGCTTTATCACAGGTGGGTAACGGGTAGAATGTTAACGGGTCCAGGTGTGAGAGGATTCAACTTTGATTGTACTGCGCGGGTCTCCAAAAATTGACCCGTGCAGGACTCTGACTCAAAGAAGCATAAACATGTAAAAACTGAAGTAAGAGTAACGTAAAGGTGCATTGTGTAGCTTCTGGTGGAGGGTTCGTCAACTGTTTTTCTCCATGGAGATGCAATTGCGTTATCTGGAATGTTTCAAAATATGGCATTAAACCTTTATATCTTCATGGAGACCAAACCAGACCAAGTTACAGGTCAGATTATTTGGTATTTTTGAGCTATAAAACCACTTGTGATTGAATAAATGTAAGATAAAGTTGTTTCACATCAAGTCGGTGACAGACCCCCAACCAAAAAGTTACATATTGCACTTTAAACTGTCAGGAGATCAGATTAAAGTAACTTGAGTAATAGAGCTTCAAACAGAGTAGAGCCCCCAGTTAGCTCTGCTCAAATTCATGGGACAAAATGGGGTACAGGCAGTGTTGGGGAGTAACAGATTACATGTACCGCCGTTACGTAATCAGAGTACAAATTATGAGTAACTGTATTCAGTTACAGTTACTGTTTCAATGAGAGTAACCTGACAACCCGCAGACCACGTCTCCTTCCGTAGTTACAGCGCGGACGTCTCGTGCGCCGCATGTGGAACGTGTTTTCTCGCGTAAACCGCGCTTCCTCCTGTGCACCTCTAAACCAGAACTAACACCAGGACTAAACCAGGACTAACCCAGGTCTAAAACCAGAACTAACACCAGGACTAAACCAGGACTAACCCAGGTCTAAAACCAGAACTAACACCAGGACTAAACCAGGACTAACCCAGGTCTAAAACCAGAACTAACACCAGGACTAAACCAGGACTAACCCAGGACTAAAACCAGGACTAACCCAGGACTAAAACCAGAACTAACACCAGGACTAAACCAGGACTAACCCAGGACTAAAACCAGGACTAACCCAGGACTAAAACCAGGACTAACCCAGGACTAAAACCAGAACTAACCCAGGACTAAACTAGGACTAAAGCAGGACTGAACCAGGTTTAAACTAGGACAAAACCACGACTAAACCAGAACTAAAGACCTGGTCTAAACAGGTCTAAAATCAGGAGTAAACCAGGTCTAAAAATCAGGACTAAACCAGGACTAAACCAGGTCTAAACAACATGACACCTAACAGTAGGTTGACATAATTTAAGGTGATCTCATATAAAAAATAATTTCTCTATCAATAATATGTTTTAATCTGGTTAAGGAAAGGCTGATCTTGTTACTGTCTTTTAACAGACAAAACCTCTTATATTAAGATGTCGTGGTCTTTGTTTCTCTACAGCAACAGTTGCTTATTCATGGAGACTTGGGCTCAGACAATTTGAAGACAACAAACAAGAATTTTCAGGATGTGGTTGCTACATTCATGTCGTTTAAAAAAACATGACAATATCAAGTAATCCAAAGTAATCAGATTACGTTACTCACTTTAAGTAATTTAATGGATTACGTTACAAACTACATTTTGGGGTATGTAATCTGTAATCTGTAGGGGATTACATTTTAAAAGTAACCTTCCCAACACTGGGTACAGGGCCTTTAAACTCTAGAGCGAGCAGATGGGGACGTAAAAAGCAGCAGGCCCTAAAGGAAAGGCCTCAAACGGGGAGCCAGGTACACGTCTGACATTTCCAGAGTCTTTGAGAGATCACCGCCGCCTTCACCTGCTCCATCTGCGGGCCACGCCACCGCCACAACAGATGTTTCAGGTTTATGAGCTATTTTAGGCCCAGTGGGAGTGATTTCACAAAGGAAAGTGCCGGCTGCTTATTTTAGACGTGATACAGGAAGAGACGTGTAAAAATAATAATGGCCATTAGCAGTGCAACGAAAGTCAAGCGAGGATACAGTTTGGTGAGAATATTGTAGATAAATTCAACACTCTAAAGCACTGTCGGGTTTGCCTTTCAAATATCTGATATTTATCCAAAGCAGATTCTATTCAAAATCTTTAATATTTATATTTAAACTGATTTTGTGATTGTGACTGACTAGTTTCTTGCCAAAATCATAACCTATCACTTGTTGGAAGAAAGATTTCAGAGTTTCTCCTTGTTTACAGCTAACCTCATTATATTTCAGTATGTTCTTGTTGATACTTTGCAGAGACGACGTTCATGGTCTTATTTAGGTGTTTGATTTTCAACAAAAAGGTGTGATTCTGGGTCTGTAAAAACAACAAAATATTTCATTGGAAGTGCCTTTTGTTTAGAAGGTGACGGCATTTTTGGGGCTTAAAAACACAAACATCTGAAACCACCCTCCAGAGTGGAAAAGTTGAATCACGCCGTCCACCGTAGCGCTTCCGTTTACACTGCCCAAGACGCAAAACTCTGGTCAGATCTGCTTAAGTCGTGTACATGTTTACGTCAAATACGTCACCACCTAACCGCCCTGGCATGCATACCCAATTGAATTCCAACACACTTTTGCCTCACCGTATGTACGCAGATTTCATCCCGAAAAAGCTCGTCTAAATGCGGAATAAAAAGTGAAGATGCGACGCCACTTTTGCGTCTTCTGTTCAGACCGTCACCATATAAACATAGCCTGAGTAACTGAAAAACTGAAACGATAGCTTGTGACTGTAATGTTATTTGAAAATGACTTGTTTAACAGCAGCAATCAGCTCACGAATTGTCCGTAAATCAAGATATGAGTATTAATAGCAGACAAATCAGACTCCTCGATTTGCAGAAGTTGCTCTCTCCTAGTGTTAGCAACAGGTCTGATTGACAGCGTTGTGAAGCAGCCACTCGTGGTCAGCATTCCAAATATGGAACTCTCCAAACTCCACACCATCGAGCTTTTTCACAACAACCAAAAGTGCCCCGCTGTAGGTTTGCGGAACTTTCGGTTATTGGTTTTCTATGGCAAACTATCTGTGGAAATGTCTGGCATATTTTCCACCAGCTTCATAAATCTGCCCCATCACCAAATCTTCATCCAAGTAAACATGAAGAGTTTATTCACAACTATCAAGGTAAGAAAGACGAAAACATAAAGGTGAACAACGACGACGCATTAGTGAACTACTGAGCAAAACTAAGGTGATGGTTATGAATAAAACATAAGTAACTTGGTAACTCAGACTGATTCAACAATTAAAAATAAAAATCGATTTCATGATGTTGATATTAGCATAGATAGATTTGTGCAGTTTGAATATAGATATCTGTAACATCAAATGACACAGGAAACATACACCAAGGTTATTGTAGAAGTGCAAATGTAAGGAAGAGTAAAATAAATGTGGAAAAATGCATAGGACACTCAGATGGCTGATGTCCCAAAGCTTTATTTTAATCATTACATAACATTTCAAC